AAATGCTTTTTCTAAGTGACCCATATGTAGAAGATGATGTTGATTAGCTGAAGGTGACAGAGGTGTAGAAAACTCTGGAAAAGTCACAGGCAATGGGAAACTGGGTGTAAATTGGTTTAACACTGTCAGTAAAACACAACTTGGGATGACAGCTTGATTCAATGATAATTGTTTATTTATTTTATGTGTGTGTTTTGTCCACATGTGTTAACTGTGCACCATGTGCATGCCTGGTAATGTAAGACCCTCGAAAAGCCCAGGTTTCCAGAATCTTAGCCCAGGACCGAGGCCACCCCAATCACAGAATGGAGGCGAAAGCTTAATGCAAATTGCATGAGGCTTTATTGTAGTTTAACAAGCTAACCCCATGTTGGCTAGGGTCCTTGACCCACCCACCATGGCGGATGGCTAGGAAAGACAGTTTGAAGCCGCTGCGCACAGATCTTTATAGGGCAGCATAAGGGGAGTGTCTAGGGGTACGCACAGGCTCACGATTGGTGTGCCTCCAGGCTTGGAGGGCTTGCCCTGTGTTGATTGGTCAACTGGTTGTTATAGCCCATAGGCCCTCCCAGGGTGGTTGCTATGCTCTCTATGTCATTGCTGTGCGCATGTCCGTAAAGCACACCTAGGGTCGTAAAGCATAGCGCCACCAGCTAACTTCTGATTGGCTCCTTGTCACGAGACAGGCATCTGACTTTCTAGTGTCTAGAACAAGGTCATAGAAGCACATGTTATGGCTGCCAAAAGGGAAGCTGGTCCCTTCAGTACCAGAGGAGGCCAGAAGAGGGCATTCATCAAATGCCCAGCTGCCATGTGGATTCTGGGAATCCAACCTGGGTCCTCTGGAAGAGCAGCCAGTGCTCTTAACCACTGAGCCATCTCTCCAGCCCCATAACTCTTTTAAATTGAAAGTAAAATAGCATGAGGCAGGATCTGGAGAATGTTGCTTTTGTGAATATGAGTATGTTAATAAAAAATCATTGAATTAAAAATAATTTCAGGGCTGGAGAGATGTCTCAGCAGTTAAGAGTACTGGCTGTTCTTCCAGAGGTCCCAGGTTCAATTCCCAGCACCCACATGGCAGCTCACAACTGTCTGCAACTCCAGTTCCAGGGGATCCAACACCCTCACGCAGAGTATATACTGGCAAAACACATTAAACAAACAAATAAATAAATCTTTCAAAAAAAAAAAAAAAAACCCAACAACTCAAAACAGAGGCTTTGGGCTGGAGAGATGCCTCGGAGGTTAAGAGCACTGGCTGCTCTTCCAGAGGACCTGAGTTCAATTCCCAGCATCCATATGGTGGCTCAAACCATCCCTTACGAGATCTGGTGCCCTCTTCTGGTATACAGATATACATGGAAGCAGAATGTTGTATACATAATAAATAAAATCTTTAAAAAAAAAAGTATTAAAAAAAAACAAAAAACAGAGGTTTCAGCAAACAATATTCTCAGGCAGGCGGGAGACAAGCATGGAGAAAGTGCTCAGGGCTGGGAGGGGGATCAGCAGGTAAAGTTCTGCCTGCCCTGTCCCTCTCACTGCATTCATATAAAAGCTGGGATGACGGCAGCGGCTCACTCCTGCACCCTGCTCTACGAGTGGTGTATGATCTGGGTTCCTGGCCAGCCAGGGGAGTCAACGGGAGAGCTCCACTTTCAGTGAGAGATTCCATCTCAAAAAAATAAGGTGGAGAGTGACGGAGGAAGAGACCAACACCTCTGACCCACACACACAAAAGTGCACACACAGGCACCTGAACACACATGCACACACTTGAGCCTCAGTATAAATATGAGGCAACTGCAAATTAGAAATTAAAATTGCAAATTAAAATAGCAATGTGCTAGCATTGTATACCATTTTTTCTTTTCTTTTCTTTTCTTTTTTTCTTTTTTGGAGACAGTATGTGTGTGTGTGTGTATGTGTGTGTAACAGTCCTGGCCATCCTGGAACTCACTCTGTAGACCAGGCTGGTGTCGAACTCACAGAGATCCACCTGTCTCTGCCTCCCAAGTGCTGGGATTAAAGGTGTGCACCATCACTGCCCGACTGCATTGTACACTCTTAAGACTGGTGAAAATTGCTGGGCATGGTGACACCCAACTTTAATCTCAGAACTTGGGAAGCAGTACATTTCAGGACAGCCAGAAATATCTAGAAAGACCCTGACTTAAAAGCAAAAAAAAAAAAAAAAAAGTGAAAATTGGGGTGGGAGAGAGTACCTTTGCTGCTGTAGCAGAGGACTGGAGTTTGGTTCCCAGCACCTATGGCAGGCAGCTCACAACTGCCTGGAATTTCAGCTCCAGAGGATCAGGTGCCCTCTGCTGGCCCCTGTGGGTACCTGCACCCATGTGCACATTTCCCCATACCCACATACACATAAATTAAAAAAAAATCTTTTCAAAAATGTATACTCATGAGGGACAGTGGTGCCACAAGCCTTTAATCCCAGCACTCAGGAAGCAGAGGCCAGCCTGGTCTACCGAGTGAGTTCCAGGACAGCTAGGGCTACACAGAGATATACTGTCTCAAAAATAAATAAATAAATAAATAAATAAACAAACAAATAAATGTATACTCCAGCAGTTGAGGCAGAAAGAGGGATAAATTTGAGGCTAGCCTGGGCTACATGGCAAAGTCCTGTCTCAGATAAAACAATATAAAAATATAACACAGCCATATAAGATACTACTGATTGGGGGCTGAAGGACTTGAGTTCTAGAGGTCTTGAGTTCAATTCCCAGAAACCACATCGTGGATCTATAATAAGACCAGACGCCCTCTTCTGGCCTGCAGGCAAACATGCAGACAGAACAGTGTATATATAATAAATAAAGTCTTAAAAAATATTGCTTATTGGGATAGTAACTGTATTTTCTTTCTTTCTCTCCCTCCCTCTCTCCCTCTTCCATCTCCTCTTTCTTGTGGCTTCTCAAGACAGGGTTTTCTCCATGTAACAAATTAAAGGCTTGCACCACTACAACCAGCCTAACTGTATTTTCTGTTCAAATTTTTGTAAAGCTAAAACTGTTTTTAAAATACCTACTAATTAGAAATAACACAACCGAGCGTTGGTGGCGCATGCCTTTAATCCCAGCACTCGGGAGGCAGAGGCAGGCGGATCTCTGTGAATTCGAGACCAGCCTGGTCTACAAGAGCTAGTTCCAGGACAGCCTCCAAAGCCACTGAGAAACCCTGTCTTGAATTTTAAAAAAAAAAAAAAAAAAAAAAAAAAAAAAAAAAAAAAAAAAGAAAAAAAGAAAGAAATAACATTAAGTAGCCAGGCTGTGGCATATAACTATAATCCCAGCACTCGGGAGGCAGAGGCAGTTGGATCTCTGTGAGTTCGAGGCTAGCCTGGTCTACAAAACAAGTACCAAAATAGCCAGGGCTGTTACACAAAAAAATCTCTGTTTCCAAAGAAACAATAAGCTGGCTTGGTGGTGCTGAGACTGGAAGATTTCTTCAATTTTGAGGCCAGCCTGGGCTACAAAGCAATCTGAGGGCTATAGAGAGCCAGTCTTAGCAATGGAAAACAAGACAGAAAAACAAACTCCAAATCAGAAACAAAAAGCAACAAAATGTCACAGACTCACTAAGGCCAAAAACTGCTTTCCTTCCTTCCTTCCTTCCTTCCTTCCTTCCTTCCTTCCTTCCTTCTTTCCTTCCTTCCATTTTTTTTTCCAGACAGGGATTCTCTGTGTAGCCCTGGGTGTCCTGGAACTCACTCTGTAGACCACGCTGGCCTTGAACTCATAGAGATCCACCTGCCTCTTCCTCCCAAGTGCTGGGACTAAAAGCATGTGCCACCATCCTCAGGGTTAAACCTCCCATTTCTATCTTTGTGACTGAGATGACAGATGTTTAATGCAACTGCTATTTAAGTTGGTTATTTATTTATTTGTTCATCTGAGGTAGGGACTTTGTAGCTCACACTGGCCTTGAACTTGCCACTTGTGGCATTGTATGTCTTTAATTCTAGCACTCAAGAGGCAGAGGCAATGGGATCTCTGTTTTTGAGGTAGCTTGGTCTACACAGTGAGTTCCAGGCTAGCCAGGGCTACATGGTGAAACCCTGTCTAAGAACAAAAAACAAAAACAAACAAATAAAAAACACCCAACCATCAAGATGAGAATGGCATCTGGGATTACTTCTTTGTGAATATAGGTTTTGCCTGATATATATGTGTACTGCTCTTGTGTCTGGCCCATGGAAGTCAGAAGTGGGTATCAGCTCCCTTGGAACTGGAGTTAATTTCAAATGTGGGTGCTGGAAATCAAACCCAAGTTCTCTGTAAGAGCAGTGTTCTTTTTTTTTTTAAATATTTTTTAAAGATTTTATTTATTTATTATGTATACAACATTGGGCTTCCATGTATATTTGCATACCAGATCTCATAACAGATAGTTGTGAGCCACCATGTGGTTGCTGGGAATTGAACTCAGGACCTCTGGAAGAGCAGCCACTGCTCTTAACCTCTGAGCCGTCTCTCCAGCCCCAAGAGCAGTGTTCTTAACCACTGAGCCACTCCAGTCCCACTGTAATGTCGCAGATCCGACATTTTACTGTGGCTTGCAGGAGCTGCCCAGCTTTTCTAGCCAGCTCAGTCCTTTGGGTTCTGGACTTAGGAGCTGAGCAAGTACACTCCTGGAGGCTCCTCCCAGCCATGTTTTGAATTGGCATTCTCTAATGGGATGACCCTGGCTAAAGAGATTAACAACTGCATTGTGGATCCCACTTTTAATCCGCAGCGTTTGGGCTGTCCCTCCTTGGCTGGGAAGGTCGCTGCAGGAACGAAGGCCTAGACGGCTTCCTGCTGCCATTATTGAGTTAGTGGGGATCTTGGGCTAGGGAGGCCCCAAGATGGGCAACTCCCTGCAGCGTGGGCCGGTGGCCCTCTTCCTAAGGCCCTGAGAGGTCTAGCCCCTGACCTTACTCAGGTTAGGTGTGGAAACTGAACTGTGGGAAGCTGCCTGGACCCCGCTCGGCAAGTATGGCGCTACTCAAAGTCAAATTTGACCAGAAGAAGCGGGTCAAGTTGGCCCAGGGCCTCTGGCTTATGAACTGGCTGTCCGTGTTGGCCGGCATCGTCCTCTTCAGCTTGGGGCTGTTCCTGAAGATTGAACTCCGCAAGAGGAGCGAAGTGATGAATAATTCTGAGAGCCACTTCATACCCAACTCCCTGATAGTGGTGGGGGTGCTGTCCTGTGTCTTCAACTCTTTGGCTGGCAAGATCTGCTATGACGCCCTGGACCCTGCCAAGTACGCCAAGTGGAAGCCCTGGCTGAAGCCGTACCTGGCTGTCTGTGTCCTCTTCAACGCTGTCCTCTTCCTCGTGGCTCTCTGCTGCTTTCTGCTGCGGGGCTCCCTGGAGAGCACCCTGGCTTATGGGCTCAAGAATGGAATGAAGTACTATCGGGACACGGACACCCCAGGCCGGTGCTTCATGAAAAAGACCATCGACATGCTTCAGATTGAGTTCAAATGCTGCGGCAACAACGGCTTCCGGGACTGGTTCGAGATTCAGTGGATCAGCAATCGCTACCTGGACTTTTCCTCCAAGGAGGTCAAAGAGTGAGTAGCGCCCCGGTCCAGGGTGGGAGGCCCAGGTGTTTGACGTCCCCAGCCTGCCCAGTTGGGTATAGAATTTATCTCTGTGTGAGGGGGTTTATGCTGGACCATTGAAATTGCCAGCAGTCTGGGCCCTCTGGTCTTCAACGATGGCAACTTCATCTGGTTCATCCTCACATCTGGCCGAAGCAGGGAAAGGTGTGGTGTGAAATAAAGGTGCTTAGGAGTTACCAGGAGGAGAGCCATAGCTTCATACAGTAAGAGTGGGGTCTTTAGAGCTCTCTGAGACTCAGATAGTTGTTGGTACTTATCTTGTTCTGTCAAAAGAGGCAGAGTCTGTCATAGAACTTAAATTTCCTGGTTTGCACCTTGGTTTTCCAAGATTTCAACACTTGAAAAGGCTAAAGGTGTCAGCAAAGAGACCGTCCTTGTCTTCCTGGGATGTTCAGGGAGGGGGTACAGTCAGCTTTGGACTGTACTTTGTTCTCAACTGGCATGTAGCCTCAAGCAGGTTGCTGATCCTTGTGGGTGTCTCCCCACCTTTCAAGGGAAGATGCTGGAATGTGTGATCATGGAGCACCCCCTCTGGTTTGCCTCTATCTGGTATATGACAGGGGCTAACTAAATGCCTGTTTGTTCTCTCTCTCTCTCTCTCTGAGTCAGGGTCTTGCTATGTGGTTTGGCTGTCTGGAACTTCTTATGTAGACTAGGCTGGTCTTGAACTAGGAGAAATCCTTTTGTTTCTGCCCTTCAAGTGGGAGATTTAAGGCATGTGCCACCATGTCCAGTGCATTTTCCCCCGTGTGTGTATACAGTGTGGCAGTGTGTGTGCAGAGGGCAGGGGCAGCTTAGGAAACAGGGTCTTTCTTTCCACTGTGGACCTGGCATTCACACTGTGGACCTGACATTCACACTCAGGCCGGGTCTTTCTATCCACTGTGGACCTGGGTATTCACACTGTGGACCTGGTATTCACACTCAGGTCGTCAGGCACAGGTAAGCGTGGTAAGCACTTTTATCCACAGAGCTGTTTCGCTGTTTTCTTGGTGTGTGTGAAAATGAAGTCCTGTGGTGGGTGCTGGCGAGAAGAAGCCTCTGCTCTGGCTGCTCTTCCCCATGGATGGTGTCTAGGGAGGGACATGCTCTGCGATGCCCTGGCTGACCTTTCAGGGCTCACCCAGATGCTTTTTCCTCTGAGTAACTCTGGCACATCTCGAGGGGTGTTGAACTGGCGGGCACCCAGCAGCAGGATGTGCTGAAGCCCAGAGGTTCCTGGACCATTGTCAGCTTAGACAAGGCTTCACTTCTCAGATGGAAGGAAGCCCTAGTGAAGGTCACCGCTTGGGATGTCATTTTCTCTGTGGAAGGAGATTACAGGCACAAATCCCCAGCCAAGGAGGGGGTTGTGACTAGCTCTGCCCTTCCTAGATGACAGGTCTGTGGGGACAGGCTAGGAAGGCATCATTTGCATAAGCCTCCTCAGGAGGATGTGCAGCCAGGGGCCAAGCAGAACTCTTGGGCATATGAGAGGCCACTTGTAAAGCAGGTGACAAAGGCTTCATTTATCTCTTCCCATCTTTCTTTCCTTTTTCTAATGTGGATTCTGCACAGAAACCTTTGCTTTTTTCTCCTCTTCAATTGACTGAATGTTTCACATGTGTATAATGTGTTTTGAGCAGGGCTACTCCATCTCCTTCTAACGCCAATCCCCAGCACTAGTTCCTCCCAATTTCATGTGCTCTCTCTGTCTCTCTCTCTGTCTGTCTGTCTGTCTGTCTGTCTCTCTCTCTCTCAAATAAATGGAGTTCAGTTAGTGCTATCAGTATGTTCTTGGGTGTCTGGACATCTACATCGTCTCTCAGGGCCACATCCCTGAAGAAAACTGACCCCTTCCCCCAGCAGCGGCCATCAATTTCCAGCAGTCCTCAGTTAGAGGTGGGGTTCCTGATCACTTCCCCACCCATGCTGGGACTTTTCCTGGTTGATTTTTGCCAGGTCTAATTCATGTGCTCAACATTTGCTACCATTTCACAAGTGCACTGTCCTGTTGTGCCTGGAAAGCACTGGTTATCCATAACGGTGCATTGGTTCCTGCACTCTCTGCCCACCTCTCCCAAGGTGAGACCTGAGCACTGGGAGGAGGGCTGAGATATGGAGGGCCTGGTTAGCGCTGAGCAGTCTGCAGTCTGGTATTCTCTGCCCACTGACCAGTTGTGAGCCTCTGTGTTAATCTCCAACTACTGTAAAAAGAAGTGTCTCTCTCTGATGGAGAGCGACCTCGCTTATAGATGGGTGTAATTAGTCATTAGGAGTTGTCCATAAATACTATGTCCATTTAGCAGAACAGCAATAAGTCCTCCCCAAGGGAATCTTTCCTTTTCCCACTTAGTACTGGGGTAATGCAGGGTCTTGGGCATGCTAAGCAAGTGGCTCACCACTGACCTACCTTCTCAACGCCTGCCATCTGCCTTTCTTCCTCCCTCCCCTTCCCTCCTACTTTCCTCCTCTCTTCCTCCCTCCTCCCTTCTTCTCCCTCCCCTCTCTCCCTCCTCCCATTCCTTCCCCAGTCTCTCCCTTCCTTCTTCCCTCTATCCCTTGCTCCCTTCTTCCTATCAGCTGCCACCCCAGTCCTCTTTGTCAGACTCTTGTCTCCCCCACACAGTCAAGCCTTTGAAGAGTAACAGAAGAATTATTTGTAATTCCAAATTCCCTTTGCTCTGAGACTAGAGAAATGACCCAATCACCCTACTCCTAATGGCCAGAGGACCCTAATTTCCAAGTGGACATTTAACTCGATCACAGCTACTTCAGTGGGGCTTGCAGAGTAACTTAGTGGGTAAAGGTACTTGATGCCAAGCCTGACAACTTGACTTCGATACCACATGGTGAGAGAACCCACCTCAGCAAGTGTTCCTGTCACACAAGTGCTGTGCATGCTTCTGCCCCACTATAATAAACAATATGTTTAAAAATATTTAAAAATTTTTACCTCTGTGTATCATACCAACTTGCTGGGATGCAAATGAAATTATCTTTTGTTGCTTGTTTGTTTGTTTTTTTTTCAAGGGTTTCTCTGTCCTAGCTATCTTGGAACTCACTATGTAGACCAGGTTAGTCTTGAACACACAGAGATCTTCCTGTCTCTGCTTCTCAAATGCTGGGATTAAGGGCATGAGCCATCACTGCCTAGTGGGATGCAATTATCTTAATTCCATTGTCCTGGAGAAAATTTTCATTGTTATACAGACACAATATATGATTGGCACTGGTAAGAGGCATGATCTACAGAGTGAGTTCCAGGACAACCAGGGTTACACAGAGAAACACTGTCTCAAAAAGAAAAGAAAAAGAAAGACAAAAGAAAAGAAAATGTGAACAATCTGAGACTAAAATGTAAAGCCACCTGTCAATTATGGGTGAGAAACTTTCTTGAGTTTCTTTTTCTATTTTCTATGATTTTTAAAATTATTTGTTTGGTTTTTGGAGATGGGGCGGGGCATCTGACTATCCACAAAAAACTTTAAAGAGAAACTAAAAATAAAATGTATTTATTTACTTTGTTGGGGGTGGTGGTGGGGTGCATGTACCACTGTGTGTAGAGGTCATTGAATCTCAGTGCTTCTAGGTCAGTACCCCAGAGAATAAAAAGGTAGCCCCCTCAACCTAGAACTACCTCCAGACCCCACCTCCCCACCTCACTTCTTCAGGCTGTCCTGAAGGTCATAACTGTGTTTCAGTGTCCCCCCTCAGCTGGGGGTCTAGGAAGAGGGTACATACTCTGCTGTCACTGCCTGAGGTCTGCACAGTGAGGAGCCAAGCCCATGAATGACCCCAGTCCTCAGGAACACAGATGTGTTCTCAACCAGTGCTTCTTTTATCTCATTTTAGGTTCATGCCTCCTTCATCAGCCTGGGGTGTTGGGTCCTGAAGGAGGAACCTAGTTTAGCACAGGGGAGAAAGGGCCAAGCTCAAGGTGGGACTTCCTGGGCCCTCTTGGCCCTCATCCAGGGTGTCACTTTGTTTCCTTAGGGCCTGGCCTCCTTCCAACCACAGATTATGCACCCCCCCCCCTTGCCTCCTAAGACATAGCCAGGTGGCGCAGAGCTCCTTAGGTGGTGACCTGGCTATTTATAGCGGAGTATTTCCCAGGCTATAAAGGAACTCTGCTCGGGGGTCATTGGGTCTTGTAGAGTCTTAAGGAAAAGCTTGTGTTCTAGGCTACCCCCACCCCCAGCCAAGGCAAATCAGCCTTGTCAAGGCATCCTGCAGGCTCTCCTGATTCAGGGGTGAATGGATGAACTAATAGGGAAAGACATGAAAGTCATTGCAGCCGGTTACAGGCACCTGGCACATTGTGATGTGACTTAGCCCTACTCAGGGCACAGAGGGACAGCCGGGGAATGGGGGGCATTCCCTTCACCTCTGAGCTTGGCAACCCACCTAAAAAGTGAGAATGTAAGAGGCAATGGAGGACAGCTGATCCAAGCGACTTCTTAGGGCAGTGGGTACACAGCATGGGCTTGGTAGCAGGGTTTCTTCCTTCCCAACCCTCTTCCTCCTTCTTCTCTGCTTAGCCTGTTTCTCCCATTTCTTCCCTGAGTATGGCACACCTAATTCCCTTCAGGTGGTGAGGAGCTACATTAGGAAGTGAGTATGTTGTCAAGGAGCCCCAGTGTGAGGGAGACATGGTCCTGGCCAGTGGGGTCCAGTAGGGTCTCTTGCTCACTGAAGCATAGGAAGGAGCAGTGGGGCGACGGGGACATTCACGAGTCTCTGCTGGCCTCGGCCCCATGACTGCTGACCTGACCTCACTTCTTGTGTGAGGTAGGTGTGTAGGCTTTACTTCAGCTTGGGGACATCTGGGGGTGGTGTGGGGTGACTGATGGTCCTAGGCAGCAGGCCCTGAGACACAGGAAGAGTGGAGGATCACATCTTTCGTAGTAACTCTCCCTGGGTAGAAGCCCCTGGGTAGAAGTGGGGCTGGGATGGAACTCAGATGGAAGAAAAGGTTCCACCCTGGGCTCCACAGAAACTGGGTGTGGTGATACATGCCCGTAATGTTACTGCACATGGGAGGTAAAGGCAGTAGAGTCAGAAGTTCAAGGTCATCTTCAGCTACAAAGGGAGTTAAGGCCAGCCTAGGAAAGAGGACTACGCTCCCTGAGCAGTGGGTAGATTCCAAGGCAATAGGGAAGTCAGTGGGTTGTCTTGTATTACCTGTGTGGTTTTAGATGAGACTCGGCCCTGCCCAGAGTTTTACTTCCTCCTCTCCAGAACAATCTGGTGGTTTTCAAGATCCTCTTCAAGGGCCTTAGGTAGAGAGAAGCCAACATTTTCTGAAGGCTAAGGGAATGGTGTGTTACTTGTATTACCTGTGAGGCGATGAACTCCAGAGAAGTCTGGCCTCATGGGCTCCAGTCAACACCACACAGACCCAGAGAAGCCCAACCTCATGGGCTCCAGTCACCACACATAGGCCCACAGAAGCCCAGCCTCAAGGGCTCCAGTTACCACACAGGCCCAGAGAAGCCCAGCCTCATGGGTTCCAGTCACCACACAGGCCCAGAAAGGCCCAGCCACACAGATAATGTGGCACTGAGATCTGTTCTCTGCCATACCCACAATGTCCCTGGTGATACTAGAAATGGCTTCAGAGAATATTTGTGCCGTGAGAGAGGGCTCAAGTGACAGCCTGCAAGTCAGAAGCAGGACGAACAGCACCTGAGGGTGGACGCCCGAGTGTCCTGGGTGCTTGGAGCGAGAAATCATCTCAGAGACTAAATTCTGCTCAGTGTGCCCAGGGCCACAGATGGGGGCCTCTGCCGGCCTCAGTAGACTACCGGTCAGACTACCGGTCTGACTCTCATTTCAGATGCCTTTGTGCTGTACTTGAGGAGGGTGTGCAGGCTTCGCCCCAGCTCAGAGACATCAGAAGGCCCTGACAATACCCTCCAGCCTGTCTTCCTGCCCACTGAGAGCACCCTCATCAGCAGTGACCCAGTGTCTCATGGGCCAGGCACTGAGCTCTAGCTCCAGGAGATCGGCAGACACCCAGCAAGGTCTGGCTCATGCTGTCCCGTGCACAATGAGCCATCAGGGAGATGGCTTTAGTGGCAGCCCAGAGTGATGCAGTCCTTGCCTCCTGCAGGGCAGCGAGCCTGCACATGCCTGCCTTGGAGAAGATCTTCCCTGCAGCTACCCTCAAAGGCCAAGCATGACTGCCACTAACTCACAAGAGACTGTGTCCTTGTGATGTGCTCTGGTCTGTTCATTTCATAGCCTGATGTAGGCTCCCCAGGTACTCGGGATGGCTCTTGCTTGGCCTCTGCCCAGTGAGGTACCCTTCGAGCACTTTGTATGTCCTGTTGCCATGCCTTCTTTAAGCACAAAATCCTCACGTTGCCCCATTTTACAGCTGAGAAAGCTGAGGTAGGCCAGGATTAAGGAACTTGTCTGAAGAGATGAAGCTGGTCTCTCTCTGCAGGGCAGGAGTCAACGCCAGTGGTCCCCTCTCCCCCTGCTTCATGCCCCTAGTGCGGCCTACTCTTTAGGCAGTGCGCCCTGTCCATGGATAGATGTCAGGACTGAAGGACGTGTGGCACCAAGTACTGCCTTCCCAAAGCCCTAATCCTGATGTGTGGAAAGCAGCTCCCAGAAAAGGCCCCACAGTTGGATCTACAGCAAAGGGTGCTCAGCTTCTCTTGGAAAGAGAAAAATGTAAATCCAGATAAGTTGAGTAGGACAAGTAAGATGTCTTAGTGGTGAGGGTGGGGTACCAGCTCCCCAAGTTGTCCTCTGACCTCTGCATGATGCCATGATATGTGTGTGTGCACTCAATAATAAATGTAAGAGAACCGTATCCTCTCAAGTAAAATGCTGATGAATTAATTCCCTTAAAACAAAACAAAACCAGTCAAAGCTTGGACTGGTGTGGATGTGGGCATGGGCGTGGATGTGGGCGTGGGCGTGGATGTGGATGTGGGCATGGGCGTGGATGTGGGCGTGGGCGTGGATGTGGGGGTGGGGGTGGGCGTGGATGTGGGTATGGGCATGGATGGGAGGTGTAGGTTGTCTCACAGGGACATGTGATATAGCCTCTCAAAGGAGAACGATGATGGGGATAGGGCAAGATCCTCACACGCAGGGCACTTCTTCTATAGATTTGCCATCTGTATTCCACACGAACAAACCTATGGACCCTGTGGTCCATCCCACATCAAGCTGCCACAGATGTGGCTCACTGAAACAAGAAAACAAACAAATAAAAATCCAAGACACTCTCTATTGGCAGATATAAGGCTACCATGGGGGGGTTTTCAGTTTTTTAAAAACAATTTATTATTATTGGTGTGTGTGTGTGTGTGTGTGTGTGTTGTGTAAACAGGCGTGTATATGTGGAGGTTAGAAGACAACATGTGGAAGCGGGTTTTCTTCTCCAGCTGTGTGGTCCTGGAGTTCAGACCCAGGTCATTAAGTATGGCAAGCCCCTTTACCCACTGAGCCATCCTGCCAGCCCCACATGGGCTTTTACAGGTGACAGTGCTAAGGCGGGCTTGATTTATCTTATGAGTGTGTATGACGGTAAATGGGCTCATGTGTGCTCACGCGTATTGTACGTGAGGACGCATGGGTGTGTGGAGGGTTGAGGACGGCTGTAGGTGTCCTTGGGTGCTGGCCGAGCAGGCTATACCGGCTAGCCAGTGACTTCCAGAGTCCGTCTGCCTGGTTCCCTAAAGCCCAAGCCAAAGTCAGCAGATGGAGTTCGGGTCCTTCCACCTCTACGGTCAAGTGCTTCACAAAGTGAGAGAGAGGCCTCTTTAGCCTGTATCATGTATTTACCTTTGGAGATAGAGTCTTATGTGACCTGAACTGACCCTGAATGCAGTGTGTTGCTGGGGATGATCAGGGTGATCCTCCTGCCTCCCCTTCCCGAAGGCTGGGAGTACAGGTGCTCCACCAGCCCAGCCAAGTACACACATCCCCCCCCCCCCCCCAGAGATGGGGTTTCTCTGTGTAGCTTTATAGCCCAGGCTGGCCTTGAGCTCACAGAGATCCCCCTGCCTCTGCCTCCCGGGTGCTGGGATTAAAGGCGTGTGCCACTACCTCCTGGTCATAAGTACACACATCTTAAGTGCCCTGCTGGAAGAATATTGTCACTCCTGACCAGGTAACACATACAATCTGAGGGGGTGGGAAGATTCCTCTTGGATTTTGGGTCCCTGTGAAGACACAGCATTCCCTAAAGAAATAAACTGATACAAATATGCAGAGGCTGCAAGCCTTGTTGGGCAGCTTGGGGAGCCAGCTGAGGACACAGTCTTGTTTTTCAAAGGGAGCAGGGAGAGTCCACTGCTGTGAGTTTACAGGGGTGAGGCCTATGCCTGTCCCAGCCTGGGGGTTGGGGGGGGAGGGGGCGCCTCTGCACAGGTCCTGGCCAGAGCAGGCCTTCCAGAAACAGTTTTCTAGAAAGGGCCTTGGTGATGAGTGACCTGTGACGGGGAGAGATGGCTGGTGAAGGGGTGGGGAGCTAAATTCTATCAAAAGCAGCAGTTACCTCAATCCTAGGGCCTTAATTCCTACCGGCCTGGCATGGATCCAGGAAGTCCCTGCAAGCTGGGGACCTGCTTGGCAACCTAGGGTAGTAGTTGGGTAAATTGCTGTGATCTCTGTTTACTTCGCCCTCTGCAGGGATAGGGTCACTGCTCACTGCTCTATCGGTAGCTCCTATTACAGAGGCTGGCACGTGGTGGGTGTTCATGGGCAGTACATGAATGAAAATGCAAGTTCTCGGTGGGTGGGAAGACCTGCTGCTTCTGGAAACCTGAACCAAGCTGTTTCTCTTCCAGTCGCATCAAGAGCAACGTGGATGGGCGGTACCTGGTGGACGGCGTCCCTTTCAGCTGCTGCAACCCCAGCTCACCACGGCCCTGCATCCAGTACCAGCTCACCAACAACTCGGCACACTACAGCTATGACCACCAGACTGAGGAGCTCAACCTCTGGCTGCGGGGCTGCAGAGCTGCCCTGCTGAGTTACTACAGTAGCCTCATGAACTCCATGGGTGTGGTCACACTCCTAGTCTGGCTCTTTGAGGTAGGTCCACAGAGGACAGGGAGAGGGAGCCTGCCTGACTTGGGTTTAACATGGGGAACAAACCTCATGTAATTTAGGCTGGCCTTGAACTTGATACATACCCAAGGCTAGCCCTGCTGTTTGTTGTCCATGCTGGCCTTGAATTTACTACCTCCAGCCTCAGTCTCCACTTAAAAGGGGCCACAGTGTGTGCCACCTTGCTTGGCATCCTTGCTTACAAAAAACATTTAGGTAAAATCAACATAAAATGAACCTTTTTGCCTCCCTTCCTTCCTCTCCCTTTTTCTTTTTGAGATAGGTCTTTCAATATATAGCCCTGACTGTCCGGGAATTCTCCATGTAGACCAGGCTGACCTCAAACTCACAAAGATCTGTCTACCTCTGCCTTCTAAGTGCTACTACACCCCGCAAAAAATTCAAGCCACTTAGTGTATTCACAGTAGCATCTCTCTGCCACCTCAATCTAGTTCTAAAACATTTCATAGTCTTCCCCCCCGCCCCCACGGAAACTCTCAGCACTTGCAGTCCACGAAGCTATCCATCTGTATTCTGTGTCTGTGGATTTACCAATCTGGACACTTAGTATACGTGAACCTTGCACTATGCAACCTTTTATGTTTGGCTTTTCACTTAGCCCGACTTGGGGGTTCCTCTTCTGCTTCCACTTTTTGTGTCTAAGGCCTTGAATCGCTATGGTAATGTTACGGGGACAGCAGCATTACCTCTCGGGACTACCGGTAGGCTTTCATATACAGTGATGTGAGCACTGGGACCTTCAGTCAATGGTGCCTGTGTGGACTTGTGCTTCGAGTTTATTCAGTGTGTAATGTGTCTGCCTTATGTCATCTGCAAAGTTTAGTTCCTCTTTCTGAAGCTCTGGAGCTTGAAACTCAGCACCCTCCCCCACCACCACACCCCTCCCTTGTCCAATTCATCCTTGGAAGGGAATTTTCCAACACACAGAGCTGGGAGCTGTTCTAGGTGCTGAATGGGCCACAAGCTCCTCAGGGGTGACTTGGGGTGCCTGCATGGAGCAATTCTTGCAGCAGAAAACCCAGGCTCCAAAATCAAAATGTATCAAGACAGAAACATTAGCTGAGACAGTTTCTTTCTATCAGAGAAGGTTCCTTGAATTTCTCTTGTAGTCCACAGACTACACAGGTATCTACACAGGTCTTCTAAGTCACCCTGTGAACAGACAACATGGCTGGACCACGTGCAAGGCAGCAGCTTGTGACCATTTATTAGCTGACACCTTGAGGTGGTCTTTGGAATGAGTAGCATGAGGGGGCAGTTTTTCACCAGGTGACAGTCACCACCGTCTAAAACCCATGATGAAGCCTGTCCTTGAAGACTGTAGTGGGGCACCTGGCCTCCTCCCAGATCACTGTTGATGCACACCAGCTCACAAAGACCAGCTCATGGGGAACAGGGAGTCCGAACACCCCAACTTGTAGTGAGCAAAGCTACTATAGGCACTGGGCTGCTGGAGTTGCTGGCAGCCTTGCAACCCTGGCCTCCACCTCTCGTGCACCACAATCCAGTCAGGAGATGACCAAACATATGAACAAAAGGGTAGATGCAGAGTCACGGTGTAGCAGGCTTCCCTCAGAAGGTCACTTTTTCCATTGTAAAACACACTAGTAAGCTTTCAGCAGACAATAACAGCTAAAATTGACCAGTCACTATCATTAGATACTCCTACAATTAAATTCTCCCCAGTGCACCCATTGTCAGATGTTGGGTGAGGTGCCACCACCACTTGCTGTGCTCTGGGGCTGGGGTGCTGGGCAAACCAGATGTATGGGGTGGGGGGACAGTCCTACTCTTTGGGAGCAGCCTGGAGCGCATAGGGAGCTTGAACTTGCACAGAGGTAAGTAGTGAATGTAATATAAAAGGAAAGAAAAAAGAGTACCTACCAAGCCAGTCACCAGCCAGCTGGCAGCTTTTCCTGTCAGGTGACACATAGGGTACACTCCACAAACATGGGCTGGCAGTTGCCACCTCCTCTGGAAATCTAGAAGCCAGAGATGCAGCCATTGTCTCCTAGTCTCACAGCCACGTAAATACAGGCTGGGATGCTGATGTCGATTCAGGCACTTTTGGCACCAGAGTCTGCCACAGTGGATGCTAGGGAAGAAATGCAAGCCGCTGGTGACAAACCTCCATCACCACAGCTGGTGACAAACCTTCGTCCATCACCACAGCTGGTGACAAACATCCATCCATCACCACAGCTGGTGACAAACATCTATCCATCACCACAGCTGGTGACAAACATCCATCCATCATCACCACACGGGTGAGGGTAAGAGATGACCCCCACACCAAAGGGTTTGTAGACTTCATTTTTTCAGATTTATTTTACATGTATGTCTTGTTTGCATGCATGGTGCCAGTGGAGATCAGAAGAGGGGGTCGGATCCCCTGGTACTGGAGTTACAGGTGTTGTGAGCGACCCTGTGGGTGCTGGGAACCAAATCTGGGTCCTCTGCAAGAGCAAGTAGTCTTGACTGCCCAGTCATCTTCCAGTCTCTGAAATGACTCCTTTTTTTCCCCCTGAGACAGGATCTCTCTACACAGCCCTGGCTGTTCTGGTAGACCAGGCAGGTCTTAAACTCACAGAGATCTATCTGCATCTGCCTCCTGAGGGCTGGGATTAAAGACTTGAGCCACTGAGCTTGACTTGGGAGTGACTTTTTAAAAATTATATTTGTGTGTGTGTGTGTGTGTACATGTTTGGGCATATGTGTGCCATAGCACACTTCTGGAGGTCAGAGGACAAACTGTGGGAGTCAGTTGTCTCTTTCCCTATGTGAAGTCAACCTTAGGTTGATTCTGGGCAGCAAATCTCTACCCATCAAGCCATCTTGCCAGGCCAGCAGGTGACTTTGTGATCCTATCCAGGGACACTACTGACATTCTTGTGGGCCAAGAAACACATTGGGAAAGGGGGGGGGCATGGAGCAAAGGACTGGTGTGTGCAGCGAGGTGGGAGGCAGGATGGAGGGAAGGGAAGCGGCAGGAGGGCTCTCACTCAGGATTGGCTCTGGAGTAACAGGCGACTGTGGAGAGCCATGGTGATCTAGGCAAAGAATCTTACATGTTCTAAACAGCTGTGGCGGGTGGAGCTGGAGAGGGAGGCTTGGGGCTCACAACAGGAGACCAGGGTGGGATGGGTCAGGCCTTTACCAACCCAGGCTCGGTGCCACCATCAGTTTTAGCCCCACACCCAAGGGGATGTGTATGGCTGGCACTACATTTTCCTAGCAGCCCAGATCCTAGCTAAGCCCACGTCTGCTCTAAGTCTCGGCTCTCCCCACCAGGTGAGCATCACTGCTGGACTCCGCTACCTGCACACAGCGCTGGAGAGTGTGTCCAACCCCGAGGACCCTGCTGAGTGCGAGAGTGAGGGCTGGCTGCTGGAGAAAAGTGTGCCGGAGACCTGGAAGGCCTTTCTGGAGAGCATCAAGAAGCTGGGCAAGGGCAATCAGGTGGAGGCTGAGGGTGCCGAGGCAGGCCAGGCTCCAGAAGCTGGCTGATGGCCTGGGGCCGCTCCCCTCCTCACACTTAGTGGACTCCAGGAAATGTGCATACCCCCTTGTCCAGCTGAAAGTCCAAATTTCCCAAGAAAGCTGGGCACCTACTGACTCTCCTTGACAGTGGGCCTTGAAGTTCAGGGATCTTAGGGCATGCGACAGACATTTGTGAAATGGCTGCCTCCAGATGTGAGGGAACGAGCCCTCCCAGTGGATGTCCAGTCTCACAGGGGCCGGCCGGTCCAAGTATGAGTCCAGCTCTCCCACAGGTGACTGGCTGCACCAAGGCCCCTCCCCTGTAGTGTCTGTCTCTTTTATCTGCATCCAAATCGTCACGATACATAAACACAGGGTGAAAAAAATCTAAGGGCCATGTTGTCTTTTCTTTAATGACAAGGTTAGTTTCTTATGTTAGATTATGGGGAGGGGCAATTATGTTTTTATAAGAGCAATGGACTCTGCAAGGGTCACCTCCACGTAGGAATTCACAGATGGTGAAGAGGTGAGGATTTCCTTTTAGCCTCCCATTCCCATACCCTCAGTCACTTACTCCAGCTTTAATCATGGGTGCTGGCGTGTTGCAACAACCCTTCCACCTACAAAGCGCTGGGTGAGCCACTGCCTATGGCTTGTCTGAAACAGAACAGGGTGAGCTTGCTGTACTTCTGTGGAAGACAGTGATGATCAAACAAGAGTCTACCACTTGGGGACCAGGCCTTACCTCCTGGTGGGCCTGGGGACATGGGCTCAAGTGGCCATGACAGTCCTTGTGGACTGCACTTCAAGAGGAAAGCAAGGGCTTCTGGGAACTTGTTTTTCCTCCCACAAAACAGTGTGGAAATGCTTCTGTTATCAAGGGAGATTCTTGGAGACAGGCTTTCTTTCCAAACTAGCATGTGTGGGAAGTTGCCATTCCTTCTGGGAAAGACAGGCAAGGTCTCAGGGAAAGAGAGGTAGGCATGATTTTTGCTGGCACCCAGGCTGGGGGTGCCCGCATCACCACAGGGCCCAGCTGCTGCTAGAGTGCACTGTGTAGCTCTAACCTCTCTCAGGGAGAAGACCCAGTCAGAGATGCTGATTCACCCATCAAATTTCGGACCTAGTGTTGTCCTGAGTCTCTCAGAGCAAAGGATGGCCCAGAGGACAGGTACTGCGCTGAAGACCCTGAGTTTCCCGCCATCCCTCAGGAGGACTGGGAACCAATGTGGGAGCTACGTTAGGACCCACATGTACCTATGTTGTCAACAGTCGTATTAAGAGATATTAAAAGCTATATTATGTGAAAATCACTTTTGTTAAGTGACTGTCTCAGTCCATTCAACAGCACACACTGCAGGATGTCCAGTTCTAGCCAGTTTAAAGGGGCAGAGACCAGGCCTGACAGTGCATGCCTATGGTCCTGGCATTTGGGAAGCAGTGGCCAGAGGATCAGGAGTCATCTTCTACTACAAAGTAAGTTCCAAGGCTAGCCTGGGCTACATGAGACTGTGTCTTATACACAGGGGAGGGGGTGGGGGCTAGAGAGATTGACTCAGTGATTAAGAGTGCTTGCTGTTCTTGCCGAGGACACAGGTTCTGCTTCCAGCATCCACAGGTACTCACTAACACTTTGAACTCCAGCTCCAAGAGATCTGAGGCCTTTTTCTGCCTCTGTGGACAGCCCACACATGGCACCCTCACACGGTTACATAAACAGTAACTTTTAATAAAATCAAGTGTTTAGCTGGGTGTTGGTGGCACACACCTTTAATCCTAGCACCTGGGAGATAGAGGCAGGTGGATCTCTACCAGTTTGAGGCCAGCCTGGTCTATAGAGAGAGAGTTCCAGGATAGGCTCCAAAGCCACAGAGAAACCCTGTCTCAACTTCCCCCCGAAAAAAATCAAGTTTTAGTCAGACAGTAGAGGTATATGTCTCTAATCCCAGCAATCAGGAGGCAGAGGCAGGCAGATTTCTGAGTTTGAGGCCAACCTGGTCTAAAGACTGAGTTTGAGGACAGCCAGGGCTACACAGAGAAATCCTCTCTCTCTCTCTCTCTCTCTCTCTCTCTCTCTCTCTCTCTCTCTCTCTCTATCTTTTTTTTTGAGATGGGGTTTCTCTGTGGCTTTGGAGCCTGTCCTGGAACTCACTCTGTAGACCAGGCTGGCCTCAAACTCCGCCTGCCCCTGCCTCCCAAGTGCTGGGATTAAAGGCGTGCGCCACTGATGCCCAGAGAAATTCTGTCTTGAGCCTGCTCTTAAGTCTTTTTTCTCCATTCTGTATTTCTAAAAATAAATAAATAAAAATGTTTTCTTATATAGGTAACTATAAGCCTCCTTGGGACCAGGTTATGGGCAGGTATGGTTCAGAGAAGACAGGAATAATAGTACTGGAAACAGTCCTAGGTAGTCGCACGGTTGTCAGGAAAACCTAGCCCATTCCTTTTGGTGACCTACCAGTGCCTAGAAACCACTCTGGTACCAGGTTCCTCAGGCTTTGTAAACTCACTGACAGGTGTGTCAACCCAGCCCCAGGCAGGGTCATTGGTAAAGACAAAACCAGAGACTTTCTGCTTCAATGGTGTGATGGGTTCGACACCCGGCTATGTGTCCTGGCTGAGGGCTTTTTACCACTGAGTCCCATCTCAACCCGAACTTCTGTTTGAGATTGGGTCTCTGTAGCCCAAGTTGGTCTGGACTGTGCTATGTATGTAGACCAGGCTAGCCTTGAACCCAGCCTCTTTATTTTAGTTTTTGAGACACAGTCTCACTGTGTTAACCCTTATTGGCCCGGGACTTGTTCTGTAGACCAGACTGGCCTTGAATTCAGAGATCTGTTAGCCTCTGCCTCCTGAGTGTTGAGATTGAAGCCCTGCATCACTATCTTGACCTAGCTAGCCTTCTGTTTTCAAAACATTCTCTAGTGAAATACCACTTGGTGGCTTCTTGTGCTGAATACCCAGCAATCCTGGGAGTTTGTAGTCTCAGCTCAAGTAAGAACCTACAACTCCCTTTGGCATGCTTCAAGCTCAAGACTAAGTCATCAACAAATAAACCCCAAGTAACCTCAATATGGGCTAATAAGATTATCTAGCTGCTGCTCGGCAGGCTCCCAGCCCTCCTCACCTGGGCACCTGTCATGCTAAGCCAGCAGGTTTACAGATTAGCAGGAGCAATTAAGGCCTCTCACCCACATTGTGGAGCGTTCTTGGTGACAGCGGCAGAGCTGAACCTGTGGACAGTATGAAGACCATGCAAGGGTGGGATGGGGATGCTTCCCACTTCTCAGTGGACATGGATTGGCTGCAGAGGGGACAACTCAGCCATTCACTAAAGGACATTAGAACCTGGGTCCATACAAAACCCTACATAGGAGTGTTTGTAAGCACAGGTGCTCACCAACAGTCACCCAAGATCGTTCAGTTGGTGACTGCATTAACATCTGCAGTGGAACACCACTAGCAACCAGAGGCATGTGTGACTCGAATACACTCTTCCTTTTAATACTTTTATTTTAGAAACTGTATTTAATATATTCCAGGCCTCAAATTCACTGTGTACCTGAGATGACATTGAACTCCTGATATTTCCACCCAAGTGCTGGTTTGTAGGTGTTACACACAGCAGTTTTCATGGCACTAGGTAACTAAGCTATGCTCTCCAGCTTTAAAATGTATTGGTAGGCAAAGCAGCAGGCTGGGAGGCACCTGATGTGACTCCAGTCACCTAACACTCTGGAAGGGGTGCAGGACAAGAGCGAGCCACCATTCAGGGCAGGGAGAGGAGATGTGGGGCATGAAGGAATGTTCTGGGAGACAGGACTGTTCTAATTCTCAGTGTGGTGGTTGTGAAACAGCTATGAGCATTTGTCAAAATGTAAAAAACAACCCCGTATTCTAGAAAGGGTTGTTCTCACTGTTTGTAAAGTATGCCGCAATAAACATATGGGGATGGACAGCTGGGCGGTGGTGACCTACACCACCTGGTAAGAAGGGATAGAGGCTGGGCAGTGGTGGCACATATCTTTAGTCCCAGCACTTGGGAGGCAGAGGCAGATGGATCTCTGTGAGTTCAAGGCCAGCTTAGTCTACAGAGCTAGTTCCAGGACTGCTAGGGCTGTTACACAGAGAAACCCTGTCTGGAAAAAAAAAAAAAAAGTCTGGGGATAGAGCAGCTGGGCAGTGGTGACTCACACCTTTAATCTCAACACTTGGTGGCCAGAGGCAGGTGAGTCTGTGAGTTGAAGGCCAGCTTGGTTTCTATAAACCAGTTCTAGGACACAGAGAAACCCAGTAATGAGTGAGAGGCAGCTGGCCTGGGGCAGGAGTCAGCTGGCAGCAGCATTAATGACCAGGTGGGAAGCCCAATGTGGAGAGTCTGATGTTGGGCAGTGTCCCCATGGGGAGCCAGATGTTGGGGCAGTGTCCTGGTAAGAGGATTCTGGGACCACAGAAGAACTTTGCTCTGAGTAGGTCTCCTCCTTGCACCAGGTGTCTGCTAAGTGTGAGAATAGGGACCCACACAGAAGCAAGCAGCAAGGCCAAGCAAGGTTTACACAAGGCAAGGTCCTTGTACACAGACCCGCTTCCTACTGAGCTGAGGTCAGAAACGGCCCTGCAGAATTCTAGCTCTCACAGACAATGAGCAGGGAACCTAATCAGCTGAGATAATGTCCATGCTTCCCAGGAAGGTCAGTGTGGCTTGGCTAGTGGCCATAACTGACACTAATAGTTTAAGCCTCTTAAATTCAGGCTAATATCAATGTCCCACTTTTGCAGCAAGGTGACATGGGGAGCTTTGCTGGGGTGTTGTACGTATAAAACAAAACGGAGAAGTAATGTCAACACCTAAAGCCTTTATTTGAGTATCTTTAAACTTTTTACATATGATACATTCCAAATTTTACAAGTTGTCCACAGATATTAAAATTATAGCCAATTTATTAAACATATGATTTTCCCTGATATGGAAAGCATGTTATATAAACATTTCTACAACAAAAAACATGCGCAACAAATAGAAGTCA